GAAGGAGGAAGTCACTGCCTCAGGGCCTTCAGTGGAGCACAGTCCTGCCTACACTTTGAATTCAGACTTTTGACTCCAGAAATATAAGAATAAATGTTTGAAGCCCCAGCTTGTGGCAGCTTGTTACTGTGCTCATAGTAAACTCACACAAAGGGTAAGACTGACTCTGGGAGTACGGATAGCTCAGTGAGGCCCACTGAACCCATCGCCTACCTGGAATACCCAGCATTTGGGAAGACTCTCAAACTGCCCACAGCCTCGCCCATTGGCAGAAAGAGGGAGAGGATAGGGCCTGAGTTTTACAGGAAGCTGGGGGCCTTCCACACCAGAAACTGAAATCTCCACTGGCCTGAGAGGCTGAGATCCTGGGTGGCACTCCATCCTTCCTTTAGGGAGTTGCCATGACTCCCAGCTCATGCTGGCCACCTTCCTGCTTTGGCCTCTGTCCCAGGAGAGAGTTGGCTTCTGTAGCAGCAGACAACATGCTCTTGTCAGCTCTCACAACTTTCATGATACCTCTGTGCCTCTTGCCAATCCTCAGTCAGAACTCAGCCCCTCAAATTTACCTGAGTGACATTATTGCCTGGCTGACAAGCATGAGGTTGTGAGTTCAATCCCCAGTACAAAAAAAAAAAAAAAAAATTTTACCTGGGTAACATCTCAGCAGCTCCCTCAGCAACTCCCCTCAGGGTGAGAAATGGGCAAGGTCTCATCCTATTGGTGTTGGCCCTTCAGGGCCTCCTCTCCCCAGGGCTGGCCAGTACTGTCTACTCTCCACTAGGCCCACTTTCTGCCACCACACTGCCACCCACCATCCTATCACACTTACGCCTCTCTGCCATTCCAAAGCAACTTCTCCTTGAGTACCCATTGCTAGGTTCCATACTCCATTCCCATGGCTCCATCTTCCTTCAGGTCACCCCCAACACTGGACTCCCACACCTCATCCCAGTCTAAGCTCTATGCTCTTGATGCTAAAATCTTCCAGCTAGGTCTCAGGCAACTTCTTCCACAGCCTACTGCAGCCAACCTCAAAGTTGGGTCATCAGTTCCAGCACATCCAGCTGACTTCCCCAGCCCCTAGCACCAGCCCCATTATACCATCCTCACAGCAGGATCACTTAACACAAAGAAGACCTGCTCATTGCTCCAAAGATAATCCTCCTCCACTATCCTCGCCCCCAGGTAAGGCCAGAGTCTATGTCTGGGCCACCAAGTTTATCACCCACCTGGAACAGGGCCACTTTGAAACATGCCTTGCACACTCACTCACAGAACACCAGCTCCTCATTAGTTCATATTTGGGAATCTCAACTCATGTCACCTCTTCCAGGAAGCTTCCTAGATCTTAGTCCAGGTCAGGGTTCCTGCTGGATGCCCTGCTTTCAAGGCCCTCATCTCTTCCTCCTTGGCAAGTACCTGTGTGTAACCATGCACTGATTGGTGGATTTTGATTCACAAACTTCTCCCCCTCCCCTTCCAGTGCAAAGACTTCCATGCTTCTTCTGCCTATTTTTGTAGCCCTCATCCAGGCACATGTTTGGCCCTTAGGGAGAAGACTAAGCAGAGCAGGTAGATAAGACCACAGGCTAGAGAGGACAATATGTAGCTAAATCAACGCCTCTCACGCACAGCCAATTGCGAAGTGGAAGTGAGGGCAGTGCTAGCCCTCTCAGGGAGTCCCTGTCCCCATCTGTAGGATAAAGCTTGTCAGTTAGCTCTTTTCCCATCCTAGGGATGTATGCCTCACTCCCAGACACAGAAGCCCCAGGAGCATGGCCTCTGACATCACACTGAGCCCTTGGGAAAACAGACCCTTGTGCAGAGCTGGAAAGGGTATGTTGGACACCTTTACACAGGGCTACTACTAGGTCATTCACAAGCTCCTGGCCCTAGCCATGACTGTCCACAGCCCTGCTGAGCACCAAATGCATACACTACTCATCCATCCAAAAGGCAGATGCCGTTGCTGCTCTGTGGCAGGTAAGGAAAGCAGAGCCTCTGTGCCTGTACCTGGAGGTGGCTTAGCCTCATCGGCCTTGTAGGACTCACCACAGAAGCACCAAGTCCACCCCAAATTTCTCAGCCTATCAGAGTGTCTGTGGTGATATATGTGTGGGGTCTCTCAGCAGTGGGATACTGACCTACACACTGTTGGGAGGCACTAGATCTTACTGTGCTTGCTGTGATCACTGCCAGTATTTGCCAAGGGTTGCATAGACACCCTCAAACCTTAGAGAGTTGCTGTTCCTATCAAAACCTTCCCCAGGCAGTTGCAGGGTGAGCCTGGGTCAGGCCAGGACCATCAGTGGTGAGACCTAAAAGATACCCAGCTCCCACCCAGCAGCCTCTTCCACAAGGCACCAAGATGCCAGTGACTGTGCCCCTCACTGGTTCTCAGGACCTCAGTCCTTTCCAAAGAGCCGTCTGGAGGAGCAGCCCTAACAGTACTGCTGACACTTCAAGGTAAACTTGTCGCCTAGAAGACCATGAACCCACACCAAACAGGGAGCTCCAGGAGACAGACACCAACTCTGATCATACCCAGCACATGAATCCCCAGACTAGCAAGGACCTCACTCTGTCTTCAGTCCTCCAAAAACAAAATTAAAATGACTGTTAGGCAATAGCACCAAGTACTGCAAGTTGAAGGAATCTAGCACCTCACTCCCCAGAGCCCAAGGGTTGCTGGTCACCATGGCTGGTCCAGGCACAGCCTCAGGAAGAGGCTGGCTGTTAGGCTTCTGCAGCAGGCAAACCAGTTGGGTGAGATTTTTTCTTCTGCTTCCGGATAAACTTGGCCAGCCCTGAACCTACAAGGCTGCATTCTCAGAGGTACAGCCAAGGCCACTCTGGGCCTCCCCGGGGGCCACTAGTTCTTTTTCTTTTCTTGCTTTTTTTGTCTTTTTGAGACAGGGTCTCACTATGCAGTTTGGGCTGGCCATGAGATCACTTTGTAGCAGCCCAGGCTGGTCTCAAACTTGCAGTGATCCTCCTGCCTCAGCCTCCTGAGTGCTGGGATTACAGGTATGCACCCACTAGTTCTTTTGGCTGGAACTGCATGGCGTTTGTCCCTGTAACTGTCTTAGGTTTTTGCAGCCATCTTGACTGGGAACTGAAGGTTGAGTTGTGAGGACTGAGCTGGTCTCCACCCCTCACTAAGAGCTGGTCTCACGGTACAAGAAAGACACCTGTGAGGGGCCCACAGCCTCCATGCCATTGCCAGAGCAAGGCCCAGATGTGGAGCAGAGATGCGGGACAAGCAGGAAGGCCAGGGGCCTGGGGAAGCAGAACCAGGGGGACGATGTTCCAGGACACCAGGTCCCATGAAGCCAGAGGCCCCAGGAAAGTGAGTTATCCTATTTCTTTCTTAACCTCTTCTCCACCTCGGAGCCTGCAGCCCCTTCCATAGTGCCTTGGCTAGAAATAGTCACCCCCAGACATTCACATACATGCAGGCTCTATCCACATCTACACCCCAACATGCCTATGGGCACCTGCTCCATCTCTACACAAATGCCCCAGAACTGAAGAGGAAATGGGCTTGATTTGGCAAAGAAAAGGAAAGGCTTGTGTCTGGACTTCAGGGAGCAAGGCAGAGGCTCCCCAGTGTCAAGGTAGGAAGGATGAGGTCAGGACAGAGCCTGGGCAGCAAGGCAGCCTTGACACCAACTCTACTGGCAGCTCCTCACCGTTACTTCCTTTCCTGGACTTCCATGCATGTGCTAGGGCCTAAAGCACTATGACCGGAAACTGATACCAGGCAGATGTGGTAAGCAGATGGCCCAGAAGATGAGGTCACCGAAGAGTACTAAGTTCAAGGCAGAGATGAAGTTTTGTTGGGGAGGTGGGCTGCTTTTGTTCTCTTTGTAGAGACCCCTACCTCTTGAGTCTTAGTGCCCATGAAGATAAGGGTTAAGCCACCAACCTAAGAAGAAAAGCAGAGGACCACAGACTGCCCATCCCCCAAAGAGGAGCCCCCATGGCTTCTCTGGGTTCATCCAGGAAGGGGAGAGGAGTCCAGCACTAGGAGGTCAGCCTTCCCCAAGAATCACCACTAGAAAAGATGACCCTACTTGTTGGACATATCCCATGCGCCCAGATCTGGGTAACAGCTATCAGTAAAAAGTTCAGAGCAGACTGCAACCTCATAGCACCTTCTCAGATACCCCAGCTATTGACCATGGACATGCTATGATAATGTCTGCAACTCCATGAGGGCAATACTCCTCGGCCCACATGATGATACCCATGCACTGGGTGCAATGCTCCCAGCTCCAGAGATTCCATTTGAGGATTGGCTGTTGACTCTACCAAGTTCTCTGGAGAGCAGGAAGGGACACTGGCCCCAGGAACCCAAAGCACCTGTTCACCACAAGGAGCCCATCCAGAAGCGACTGCACCTGCTAAGAAAGGAGGAAGAACTGGGAGCCAAAGAGGCACACAGTCTCCTGCCAGCCTGGGAGCTGGGACAGAGCCCCCCAGATGGAGGGATGCTCACTGCTCTCCTTCCTCCTCTGCCAGCCCAGAGGGCGGATAACACGCCTGCAAGCAGTTGGTATCTTCGGCTATTACAAAGACAGTGCAGGTGCTTTCCTCAGAGTAAGAAACAGAAGATGAAGTCCCACCCTGGTCTCTCCTTTGCCGCATGTTAGTCAAATGGTACTCTTTCTCCAAAACCCTAACAGAGGAGCAAGGAAATTATATAAGGTGCTTCCTTTGAAAATGGCTGCAAAACCCAAACTAGCTTTAAACAAGTATCTGAAGAACGTCCTCTTTAAAGCACCTTTTCTGTAAGCCAAAGAGCTAAGGTGACAAAGCCAGAGAGAACAACCATTTTCAAGGCCTCCTTTAGAGCAACAAATCAGATGGCAGCAGCTCTGTGCACACAAGCTAGGACACAGCTGGTTCTCCTGGCTGCCTTTGGCCCCTGACGATACAACATAAATGCCAGATCAGGATGGCTCAGAGAAAGGAGCACCCAGGGGACACACACTCACCTGGTCAGGGAACCAAAGTTATGTTTCAAACTGAGTCAAGAGGTCCCTTATTTCTGGGGCCACATGTTGCGCGGCATTGGCAGCCTCAGTTATAGCTTTCCGATACATCCCCTTCTTCTTACGGTTAAATCTCAGTTTGAAAAATTCAGAGAAAGGGGAGAGTTTTGAAATAGACAAGAATGACGTAGTCGGAGACCCAAACCACGAGACTTTTGCTTCTTGCCAAGAGGGCTCTCCGTCCTCCTTCTGGCCAAGGCTGATGTCAAGGACACGCGCTGGCCACCAAGGAAAACCATGAATCTTACCCCACACGACGTCCCCTACAGCCACGGTCCTTCCATCTTCGGTAACGCACTTAGAGACGCTCTGTGTATGCAGTCTGACTGTCAGGGGTGGGACTGTCTGGCGAGCATCCCTGGATGAGGAAGGCACAGTTGCACCATCACTGGAGGAGAGGTCCCCTGTGTCTGGAGATGTCACTTCCGAGCTGGATGATTTGGATTCATCTAGGCTGTCGCTGCTGCACACAGACTCACTGGCGCAATCTGCTCTCCTCCCAGGGCAATTTACAAGAAAAGCTAAGCCATCACGTCCCTGTTTACTTTGGGGGCACCTCTTGAAGTCATCGTCCTCGCCAGAGCTTCCAGAAGACAAATCCTCCAGTCTGTGGGCAGAGCCGTCTGCAAAGAGGGCAGGCGAGCTGGCCCGGGGGCCTCGTGGGCAGCCATTCAGTTCCTCCACCAGCTCGGCCTTGTATAGGGGCTCGCACTCACCGTCCCCAAGGCGGTGGGGCTTCAGGCGGATCTTGGGAGGTGGCAGGTCTGAGCCTGGGGGCAGGGGACGTGTCAGCTTCAGCTTGGGGATGGAGGTGGAAGGTCCACTGGGTGGTCGGTCCCCATTGCCCCTGGACTCTGCATCTCTTGGCACCTCAGGGTCCTGGCTGCCATTGTGAAGAGCCTGCTGGGGGCAGAAGGGCTCCAGGGAGCCGTGCACACGGGAAGGGATCTTGACCACCTCACCCTTACCCTGAGGGGTACTGTAGGAGATCTTGATGACAGGGCTTCGTGGAATCTGTTCGGTGGAGGCCCTGTCCTCTTCCCGCCTCTCCTTCTTGCTCTTCCTCACTGTGGCTGTGGCTGTGGGATCGCTATCCTCCGGCTCCTCTGGCTTGCGATGTTCCCTGTCTGAGCCACTGCCCAGCCTCCGGCGGGGCCTGGAAGCAGCTGGGGGACCAGGGCTGGCCTCCTGGGGACTCACGGTGCATTTGCACTTCTCACAGAGCACCTGGCGGGGACGCAGGCGGATGGTGCTCAGAATGAGGCGGCCTGGGTCTCGGTTGCGTGACAGACGCCGTCGGGTCCGCTTGATGGTCCTGGGTGGTGGCTGTGGCACCCACTGCTGATAGGTGTTCCTCAGCCAGAGTGGGTGAGGGAAGGGGGCCCCTTCAAAGTACGGCGGGTAGGGGGGCAGGCTCCGGGCAGGCAGTGGTGGCACAAGGGGTGGAGGTGGCTCCGGGCCAGCTGTCTTGGAAGGCTGGTGCTCTGGGGGCTGGGCACTGTGGGGAGGAGGCCCCCCCATACCTGGCTGTGTCACTTCTCCATCACTCTCCTTAGGGGCCAGGCTAGAGGAATTGATGGCGGGGGGCTCATCAGCCAGTGGTAGCCCAAAGAGGCCAGACCTAACAGAAGGGAAGCAGAAACAGGAGTGAGGATGACAAGATCCCCAGGTGTGCCCAGCCCTTGTTGCCAAGCTGCACTCTCCTACTAACTGGGGCAGCTGCATGTGTCCTAAGTCCAGAGTGGCATTCCTAGGTTACAAAGAGATGTACAAGCCCTTGTGTATTCTGCACCCACCATCCCAGTGGATGCACATAGGTAGGTCCCATGACATGTGGCCTGCAGGCTGTTTCTCTGGTCACAGTGTCTGAATCTCAGCCCATTGCCACAAGAGAGAGCTGACAGAAAGCCTGAGAACAGGGTCTGAGTTCAGAGATGTGGCCTGGTCAAGTATGGGAGGGAAGACAGCTATTCTGTGGCCAGTGGCCATAAAACCCAAGAACTTTGCTTATAGGTCTTACCTGTTCCCTACCCTCTTCTCTAAAGGAAACATCCCCAGAGGGGCTAAGTGACCCAAGAAAGACCCCCAGATAAGCCTCTCAACTGGCCCAAGCACATCCCCTGAAGCAACCGAGTCCCAGATGCCTGATGCATGTGATGTATACAGGATAGGAGCCACATGTGGCCAGGCCCGAGCCATAGCCGCTGCCCCTATCTATAGTCCAGAGAAGCCTGAGGCAGCCACTAAACCAGAGCTCTCACAAGCACCATAAACTCCCGAAGCCCAGAGTCCTGTAGTTGGCTCCAACTGCTTCAGCAACTGTCAGGAGAGGGTTATCCAGCCACCCTACCCACCAAGATCTGGAAGTAACTCACTGCCAGCCTGCCAACTCTGGTCTCTGTTCATCATGGAGCACCAAAGGAAGAGGATATCATGAGGAGAAAGGGGAGGCCAGGTAGCCTCAGCCCCAGGGAGCTGAAGTGCCAGAAAGTGACATCCAAGAACCAATCCTGGGGGGGAGGGTGGCTGTGGGGGCTTGGGGTCAGTCTTCAGGGAAATTTGGAGCAACTACAAAGTCACCTGGTTGCCTCTCTGGGATGCCACTGGGCAGTGCCCTTGCTGGAGTGGGGACAAGCACCCTGACTATACAACAGGATTGAGGGTGGGGGTAAAGCCCCAAGACAGCAGAGAGGCCTATGGGAGCTTGGCTTCAGAGACAGGCTACAGATCAGGACGTGGGACAGGGGGTATCCTTCAAGGGCCTCCCCAAAGCTCACTTCCTGCTAGCTTTCACAGCCACTTAAGCCATAAGGTGGTGGTTCCTTTTGGCACCTTCCTCACCTATATCCCTTCTGTATAAGTACCAGCTGCACCACTGAACCTCTGTCTGCTCTCCTGGACGACCCCCACGCCCCAGTTTCAGGCTTCACCTCCCTACACTGCAGCCTATGTCCCAAGGCCAGCCTGATTATACCAGCACAGAGCCCTTCTCAACAACCAGGCCCACAATCCCAGAGTCGAGTCTCTGGTAGCCCTTCGCCACTCATCCTCCCAACCCCAACCCATCCCTGAGAGTACAGCTCCACCTTCTCTCCCCAGATGCCCCTGCCCTCACAATGGGCTAGGAATGCTCCACCAATAGGCCCTGCAGCTTCAGAAGTTCAGGAGGTCACCTGCTCATGGCACAGGCCCCTCAGATAGCCTCTGCAAGTTTAGGATAGATACTCAGCTCTCAGTCTGAGATACAGGCCCTAACTGGGCCAATGCTCCGAGGAAGGGCCAGTCCCTTCCCAGGAAAATCAAACCAGCAAGCAGCCCAGATTGCATGCTCTTGATGGCTCCAAGTTATTCCATGTTTGCCAACACCAGGGCACTAGAGAACTGGCCCTGCAGAAACAACCAGCAGTGACCCTGGCATTGCAGGCAGCCATAGCTCCTGGAGCCACCACTCTGCCTGGACACACCCAAGACCTGCCTAGTGGGTAAACAGTAGAAATGGCTTACCCCCGCAAGGACAGTCCTCAGCTCTGGCAAAGCTCACAACCATTAGCTCTGTAGGGACCTGGGCTCCCTCAGTCCTTCAGCAGCCTCACTATTCCCATTTCACAGATAGGAAGGCAGCAATGCTTGGACCAGGGAACCTGCTCTACCCAAGTGGTTCTATGTCCTCTGGGTTTGTAGTTTCCAGGCACGGAGACAGTCTCAGCACAGGCTGGTCTCTCTTGGAAGAACCTGAAACACAGCCTGGCCTGGAGTACATAGTGTGACCCTTCTATAAGCACTGCAACCTGCAGTTCCCCTCAAGTAAGGTCAGGGGCATAGCTTGAGTTTGCCCAGCTCCAGGGACAGAGATCCCCTGGCCTGGCTGTGCCTACAGATGACGTGCCAGCCTTGAAAGGTGAGAGAACTGGGCAGCCCTGCAACCACAAAGTGGCTGCCTAGTTCTACTCAGGACTCAAGGAACCCATGGTGTGTACAGCCTTAGAGGTACTACCCTTGGGTGGAAAGTAAGTACATGAAAAGGGCTGTGGGGACAGGAAGGGTCCACTAGGATGGGAGGTTGCCAGGCTGGCAAATGATTCCATACAGAAAACTGCGTGGACCTAGAACAAACTTCAACATAGCATGGAAGTAGGGCAAAACTAAAGAAACTGAGGCAGGGATGATAAACCTTAGAGGCTCTAACGGGGTCCTGACCCAAAAGGATGCAGCAGTGCCTCTACAGGGACACCAAGAACATGGAGCCCTAGGGACGGAGGCATGCAACCTGGCCCAAGGTCCTCAATAGGATAGTAGTGGCCAAGTCATATCCCTGGACACTTACCTTGGGGTCTGACCCAGTCACCCATCCAGAGTAGCTCAGGCTGAGTTGGCTCATGGGCAGGAGGAAAGCAGCCCTGGCTGCCTGCCAGACCTCTGGGCTGCCCCTGCCTGCAGCCGCCTCCATCCGGCTTCCCTGATCCAAAGCGCCAGGACCTGCAGCTGCTGGTGCCCCAGTGGCAGCCTCTGCCCACCCCCCATGTCTGCCTTAGACCTTCCTTCCTCAGCTGGCGGGGAGGGTATCCTGCCAGTGTCCGTGGGGATAAGTAAACACTGCTCCTGAGTCAGAAACACGGGGACATGCAGAGCCAGGTAGGAGCCGTGGAAGCTTCTGCATGCAGCCATGCTGCCAGGAGCCTGCAGCCTCCAGGATGGCCTGAATCCAAACCCCCAAGACCCCACCTCAGGCTGTCCACCCGGAGTTGATTTTGAAAGGATCTGCAGTCTTTCAGCAGTCATGCAGCCAGCCAGTTGCAAGGCTGGAGCCTCACAGGAGCCAGGAAGAGGCAGGCCCTGTAGGAAACAGAGTGTCCTGTAAGGGCCCGCTGAGGGCATGGAGGCTTCCCAGAGCCACCTCAGCTCCAGGACTTGGGAGATTAGCAGCAGGACAAGTGACAGACTGGACACCAGAGCACACACTGGTGTCCAGGGCACACACTGGGACCTGGCCCACACCAAAGGCACTGACCCCAGGAGGTCCAGATGAGAGGAAAAGAAGCCCAGGATCTTGGCATCAAAGATTTATTAGCATCAGCACCATCCCACCCTAGACCTTCCAGCCTCCCAGCATCACAGGTTAGAACCTTCATCCCCCACGTCCCTGATGTTCCCTTACCCACTCACTTAGCATTTCTCATGAAGAATTTCCCAAGACCAGGATGCCAGCCTGTGATATCTGGGCACTGCGTCTTTCCAGCTCTTACCAGGGAGCACTGCAGCCCCCATACCCAGCTCATCCTCAGTCATCAAGGAAGTCATCCCAGGGACATCCACTGGCAGCTGAGCTTCTGTCTTGGACAAAGGTATTTATTCCAGGACAGTACTTACACTATTGCCTAGAACTGGCAGCAGCTAGGGTCCTGGTCATAAAGGGTGGCACCCTGACCTTCCTATCTGGGTGGTAATGTGCACCATGGATGATTCTCAATTTGGCAAGTTTGACTACTACTAGCATAGAGGTCAAAGCTGGAGGCCCAGGATTGGCAAGGCCTCGTTGGCACTGGCCCTTGTATCTACTGGGAGACCAGCCTTTCACTACCCTGAGCCAATTCTGTCCTCAGGCCACTCCTCAGCCAGTGCCACCCCACCTTGTCCTCATCCAGAAGTGCACTTCAAAATCACCCACAAAACACTCCCCACCTCACTGCGTCAGGCACAGTTTGGTTATCAAAGCTTCAGAAAAAATCTTCACCCTTTGCCAGAAGTAAGAGTGGTTGGAGGCAGCTGGCATTAGGTATAGCCCATTCCTTAACACACAGTAGGTGCTCAGTTACCATACATGAATGCATGAACAGAAAAGCATTCAATAAGTGAGAGCTTGTTTCAGAGGATACCACAGCCTGGCAGCAGGTTCAAGATACAGATGGGGAGTGCCAAGACATGGGCCCAACCCCCTCCAAACTCCACTCTGCTCTGCAAACAGGGAAGGGAACCAAGGAAGCGAATGCCATCCCCTAAACCATTCCTGTAACAAACACTGGTGGCTGAGCTCCACCTCAGCCTCCCACTCAGGAGCCTGTATGAATGGTCCCTTCCTGTTAACTGTTCCAACCCAGCAAAAAGGATGCACAGTGGTAAGTTACTGCAAGGCACAACTGGGTTGCCAAGTCTGTAACTGGATTATCCCAGTGACACCCCAGGAACAGTGTGACCTGCTCTCAACAGATGCTGCATGATAACCTTCTGCTCTGGGACCCTCAGGCTCCCTTGAGGTGAGAGGATGTGGGTCACTGGAGCTCCCAGCACCTCTTTCCAGTCAAGACCCTCACCTAAAGACTGAACCCTTATGGGGTGACAAGAAGGGGACTGAAGAGAAACTGATGCCCAGAGAGGGTAGATTGGCATCTGGACCCTGAGGCCCAAGGGTAGACCTGTGCTGCCTGTAATACTCGGGCCAGTTTGTAAGCTGGATTCTAGATACTTCCTGACAAGCAGAGCTATAAATATTAGCTTTGCGATTCATAATATTGTGAGTAGAGAACTGGAAATAGAAACCAGGAGTGCCAAGCACAAGAAAGACTAGGGTGAGCAGAAGCAGGGCAGTTTCTAGATCAGGCCTTGGAGGGCTGGAGAGGGGGAAGC